TAGATAGATAGATAGATAGATAGATAGATAGATAGATAGATAGATAGATAGATAGTATCGTACAGTAAAGAACGAGTTTAATATTCCAAGTGCTCTGCACAGTAACTCATGGGGCGGCACCTGACAGGAAAAGTCCTCACCTCCTTTTGGTTGTGTTACGACCGGGGCGTGAGTCGTGGTTCTAGTGGTCGCTGTAGTAGCTAATGACGTCATAGAACTGTGAGTGGGCGTCACTGTGGTCGTATTTATGCCAGCTGTGACTATGAGCCCCGCTTGTGACGTGTGCACAGGGGCTGGTGACGTTGCTGTCTGACTTGGTGATGCGAGTGCAGGTTGTTGTGACGTATTGTGGTGGCTTTTCGTCGTCTGTATCGGTTGTGGTGACGTTGTTTTCTGACTTGTCGTTGTTTGTGTCGGTTTTGGTGACGTTGTTATGGAACCTATCGTTGTCTGTATCGGTAGTGGTGTCGTTGTTTGATGACTTTTCGTTGTCTGTATCGGTTTTGGTGACGTTGCTATTGAAGTTAACGTTGTCTGTATCGGTAGTTGTGTCGTTGTTTGATTACTTTTCGTGGTCTGTATCGATTGTGGTGACGTTGCTTGATGACTTTTCGTTGTCTGTATCGTTTGTGGTGTCGTTATTTGATTACTTTTAGTTGTCTGTATCGGTTGTGGTGACGTTGTTTGATGACTTTTCGTGGTCTGTATCGGTTGTAGTGACGTTGTTTTATGACTTATCGTCGTGTGTGTCTGTTGTGGTGATGTTGCCTTAGGACTTGTCGTTGTCTGTGCAGCTTGTGGTAAAGTCGTGTTGCTGATTATAGTCGTCAACGTACTGTTACCTGGTGAATACATAATATAATTTTGTTTAGTTTTGATAAGAAATTCTCACGCAAGAAACGCACTGGCTCTTGCTTCTACGGAATGCACTAGTAATTATTGTAAAAAAATGCCAATAAACAAATGATCTACATAGGAAAGAGGTACACTCTGAACTAAGGCTGTGATCGGCAAGTATTTCTTTTTCTTCTTCTTTTTCTTCTTCTTCTTCTTCTTCTTCTTCTTCTTCTTCTTCTTCTTCTTCTTCTTTTCCTTCTGCCTGTTATGGTCAACTCGACTGAGAGGGATTCAACGTTCCAACAGAAAAACGGTGATGCTCGATAAAAATTCTCTCCACTCAGGAAAGATAGAGTATATTGGACATTAGCTACTAATCAAATCTCTCCACTTCGACAAAATCATCCACCTGCACACACTTTTCAAACATTTGATCATACTCACTCGTAGGTGCGTTGCTTGTCAATGGGATTAGAGGCGCTCTCTGGCCTGAAACAGTTGAAGTGTATTCAGTACAGTTAGTTCGAAGTAAAACACACGCAAAAATTCTGAAAAAGAAACAGGTTTGTAACTAGTTTATATGAAGCAAATAGATCTAAAACCCTAACGTCCGGTACACGCAACGATACATAGGTCAGATTCATCGTATGGGAAAACTGTCCGTTTTATCGAACTGTGTAGTCTGTTTGCACGTTACAGTCTATCGTCCAGTTTTCTTTCAATCGGAGAGATTCGTCGTCATAATTCCGCCATTTCTCTTTGCAACGACAGTGGTTTACTTGCACTCTATATGCCTCTTCTTTGCAAAATAAAGAAAAAGAGGCTCATTATTTGGACGAAAGACTGGCTTTTAACCCGGCATATTTGCAAATTGTATAAGACAGCTGGAGACGAATATAAAAAAGCGACAGGCAAATGTCTTTGGACACACAAAGCGGAAAGAAGCAGTGGAGAATATTGTAACAACAGGCAAGTTTGATGGAAAGAGAGGCAGAGGCAGACAGAGGGAAAAGATACTGGACAAGATGACAACATGGCTAGGAGAAGCAAGAACAACAGACACCATTGCTGCGTAGCAAGACAGTGAAGTGAAGTGGAGGTCCATGATCGCCCACGCCAGTCGGCAAGACACCGGATGATTATGATTTTCACCCACATGAACGGTGGAAAATGGGGGTGGGGGGGGGTGCTCTCGTACGTACGGTATTTGTCTGTCATTCAATAGGTTCCGGCCGGTTCAAAAGTTCTCCTTTCACTTCCTTCCTGTTCTCTAGACACGTTCTGTTATCTATTTTTGCTTTCATCCCCTCTTTCTTTCCTCCTCTTCCCCGTACCCCCACCCACCCCGACCTTCAGGCTCTTCTCTCCTTTACTCCTGACTCTTTCTTCATGTAATGCTCCTCCGGCGCCTTTTTACTGCTGCCTCTACTTTCAGCCACGCCCCGGATCTTAGGATAGGTAAGACCGAACACCTAAGGGCAAATTAAATCACGGAGGTCCCATGGTCAAGTTTCGCATGTCCAAGATCCCTTGGTAGTCCTAAAATCGATAAGAGTAGGCTTCTACCGCCACCCGGTGAGAATTCAAACTTATTTTCAACCAAACTGAAAATGCTTAATGTGTCCCTCGAGCTCATATGACCTTATGCAGTTGCGAGCACCGTAAAACACCAAAAAAGAAAAAAGCCCCCTAAAACAAACTGTTCGGCTATCCAAAACGTTGGTATTCTGATTTTGCGTTTGCGATTTCACGGTCAAACTCTGCTTTTGTTAGCGGAAGGTGTGATTTCGATACCCATTTTAGGAAGATCTCATTCATTCATTCATTCATTCATTCATTCTTGTTCATTCATTCAATTTATCGAGAAGCCTTTTTGCTAAAATGTTTTATCACATTCAGACTGTGTGGACCCAAACAGATAGCTTCGAAGCAGTTCATCGTGTAAATGATATAATTTATATCTATGGGGTCGTAAAACATTAGCTTTTAAACCAATTAGAAAAATACACCTGGCGTATAGATTTCTCAGTGTGTGGTTAGCGGGTGCTCAAGTGTGGTTTGTTTCTTCTTTCCTGTCAAACACCTATCGTCCTCATTTCCCTTCTTTCTTACTAGTGTTTGTTATCCTTTTGTTACACCTTTATTCTTCGGCACTTATGATCTAATTGTGTTGCAAGTGCCTTAAAACAAAAATTAGAACAGAGTCCTCTTACCTGTCCTGCAGTCCTCAAGACTGTTGCAGAAGTCGTACTTACAACAGGTGAGGCAGAGCCGTTGTGGGTCGTCAATAGTGCGTCCGGTCAGGTAGCCCGTGTTCTTGAAGTAAACTTTGTTTGCCTCATATGCATCGCACAGCTGGGGAATTTTTTACATGTTTTAATTTTTTTCGTTTGCTCGTTTTTGGTAAGGGTTTTTTGGTGGGATTTTTGGGGGGTGGGGTTTTGTTTTGGGGGTGTTTGTTTGGGTGGGGGTT